AACTGTACTGTATGTGGATCAAATTTCAAGGTCTAGATTTTGCCCACATAGCAGTGAACGCTCCCCCCCCCTTCGCCAAATAGAGGAAGTTAAATTGGAGCTATGTAGCCATTGGCAATATGGCCTTTTGCTGCATCAAAATAAGAGCTCAGTGGGTGCCTCGTCTTTCCCTCAAAGGGTAACACTGATACATCTGTGCCAATCATGTCGGTTTCCGCTTTGCTCCACATTATTCTTGCTGGTGTGTGCACACACTCAGCATTGTTGGGAGCCTATCGCGGCGACACATTCTTGTGCAAAAAACATGTCCACCTCAAAAGTCCCGAGCTAGATAATCCATCACAGTAAACATGACTCCTTAATTTGGTTTTGACGACGTTTCTGTGTTATTTTTTCATGCTTGAGCTGGTGGTTTTCATACCAGCGTGCGTATTACCTCAGGCTTAGTTTTCTGCCTGTCACCGGATGCCCAAGAAGAAACACCCAACAGTGAATAATCGTTCAAAATCAAGTCACAAAATCACAAATATGGAATTACGTACAGAAGAGACACAAAAACTAGATTTGTGTGGAACACTGTGTAATACAAAGGTGTTTAAAGCACATCAACCTACTCTAACAACCTGTGCTGACCTCTGTTTGCTACCCTTCCTCTCTCCAGGCATCCCTTTGGTTTGCTTCCTGGTGCTGCTGCCTCTCAACATTCCCTGGTCTCAGATCAGCGTCACGTGGTTGGGCGTGGTCCACTTCCTGGCTTGCCTGTCGCCCCAGCTGGGCTCCGTGCTCTATCACCTCTTCATGAACCACGAGGGAGGCGAGCCCGTCTACCACACCCTCCTCAAACTCGACGTGTGTGGAATCTGCATGATCAACACACTGGGTAAGCCTTTCTTACACAAAGCTCAGCAGATTTGTTCACCGTTTATCATTTTGCATTCATTCTCAGCCGCCCTTCTGTTAGTGCTGCTCTGTTTGCTTTTGAGTGTGGAATTTTTATTTATTGATTGGCAATGATTTACCATGGAAGTGTTTTGCTTGGAGGTGCACCAGTACTGAGTCAATTGGCCAACGCAAGCAACGATCCAAGTTCTGAAATGGTTATTGATCTGACCATGCTGCCTGTATGAGCCTGTTATGACAAGTGCGATATTTTGCATTAATTTATGTACTTTTAACAATCATAATGGCCATATTCTACATATTATTCTGCTGATTGTACAGTTGTAATTCATATTGTGACATGAGACTTGATATCTAAATTTTATAGTATCACCATACAACTTAAAGGCTGTATTAATATGATGATGTCGCTGTTCCTGCTCAATAAAATTATCGTCATGGGGTTTTACCTGCTTGGCCGTCATATTTAAATTACTAATATTTATTTCCTTAGAGGCAATATTAACCACTCCTAGCTTGAATTTAATGTTATGTAGAATCATATCATTGATTAGCATAAGATAGATGATTTGGCCTCTCACTTCTTTTAAACTTATATTCACAACTTTCCAATTCATGGATTAGGTTTTCATAAAGCTGCAACCAACAATTATTTTCTATATCATTATTTCTTGATTCATTTATTAGTTTCATTGTCTACAAACTGACCCTCAAAGGTGACGTCCAAAAAACAATCTAAATCTTCACATTAGAGAAGCTGGAATTAGACAATGGAATAATCGACTAAGTGTTTCAGTTTTAAAATAATCTAATAAAACACAAAGTCAAGACTCCTCTGCTTAATATAAAGTTCTTTGCCTGTGGACTTAATTTTTTCCGCATTTCAGCAGTTTTCCTGCTCAGAAGTTTTATTCATTTGACCAAAATGTTCACATCTGAAAAGCTTAGTTTCTTAAGAAGCTTTCACACTAGCAGAGCTGAGTGTTGCATTTATCCAGTCAGGCAACGACTGCACATCAGCGGGTCAGAATACAGCTAACTGCACGTGGTTCTAACAAGTTCACTTCTGAGCATTGTGGCTCGCAGGTGTTGCATTGCTGCTGAGCTGAGCATCAGCGGTCCATCTCTGTGCTGACTCTCCTTTGTGTGTTTCCCTGTTTCAGGGGCGCTGCCCATTGTCTACAGCACGCTGCTGTGCTACCCGTTCATCCGCACTGTGGCCCTGTTAGTCTACATCCTGCTGTCCAGCCACGCTATCTACTGCGCCGTCACAGCTCGGAGCAGCGTTCGCCGCCTGCGATCCTTCGCCTGGCAGGCGCTGTTCCGCTTTTCTTTCTTCCTGCTGCGCTGGGTGGGCGTGGGCGGCGGCAGCCCCACCTCGCTACGCAACTTCCTCATGATGGACGCGCTGGCTGTGCTGGGCGGGGTCATCAACATCGCACGCATCCCAGAGCGCTTCCGCCCGGGCCTCTTTGACTACTGGTGCAACAGCCACCAGATCATGCATGTACTGGTGGTGGGCTCCATCCTTTACCTGCACTGGGGTGTGCTGGACGACCTGCTGTGGATCAACAGCTACAACTGTCCCTCAGACTGACCCCTCCTGCAGCCCCCACCCCCTCACAAGGAACACTGGGATGTAAGGTTAACGGACCTCTGGGGGGAGGGGGTATCTGGAGAAGGATGGGAGGGTGGGGGGGACTGACGCTGTGAGGTGAGACGGTATTTTGTCCGTGCATGTGTTCACCTCATGCGCTCAAACTCAGAATGTTCATATCTTCATCCATCTTGGTACTTTGTGTGAATGCGGGCAAAAGTATGTTGAGTAATACGCACAAGCATTTTGACTCTCTCACTTCCCGCCAAACACACACACACACAGCAAAATGGAAACATTTCAAACAGTAGATTTAATGACTGAGTATTGAACACTATAAAGTCTTAAGTAAAGGCTAACATGTGTAAAGGTTACTGAGTTTAAGGCCTTTACTTACAGCAGAAGTTTTACTTGAGCATTAGTTGATGTGATTGGTTAAGGCAGTCCTGTGGCTAAATGATATCACATGCTCAAGTCCTCTCAGATGTCACTGTTGCTACCTATGCAGCACATCCATATCTCAGCTCATGCACATTGCACAAACAACACACACACCCAGACACCCTCACACCTATATTTTTATACTACATGTACATACTATAAGTGCTGCACAAAGCACTCATAGAGGTTTCACTACGTCCCACTGACTGAGTTTTACTGGATTGGTTGTTCTGTCCATGTTTCCTTGTTCTCTGCCACTGCCTCTTCGTTTATGTTTGTGCCAGTCTGAGTTGTCTTTACAGGCAGAAGATGACGAGGAAATGAATATGGGTGAGGGGGTTAGAGTGTGCTAGCATGTTGGCAGTGAGTTTACTTGCTTTAGGTGGCTTGGACCGCACATTAGAATTGATTGCGCAGTGTTATCGGCTTTGTTTGCACCTGAGTTCAGTGCCAATGAAATTCAGGCATTTTTAATCAGAAAAGGAAAGTGCACACGTTTACTATTTGTGTTGTTCGGTAGCATAACTGTTTGCATATATATGTCCTAGTTATTTATTCTTGTATATTTATGACATCCTCCCATTGTAAGGAAGATTGTCACCACTATTTTAATTTATAGAACATGAGGTTTTACAACTTTTAAGTTGTAAACCAAGTGTTGTCTTAAGTTTACCTTTTGTTATGCACATTGTTCTGCTGAAAAGCCCTCTAATGTGCTTTTAAAAACACCAGAACAGACATAACAGGCACTCTGATGATAGCAATGTTAACGATGACTGAAGTTTTACACTGAAATGCCGCCATAGGTAGATCTTGATGTACATAAGGGCAACTAGATGCACGGTTAGGTTGCCAATTTACTATTGCCAACCTTTATGGTAACTTGATTGTAACTTTAAGTTCCTAAACAATTAGATATCTTCACACTGTAACCCTGTTTAGACAAACTACAGATAAAACCAACCTGTGTACTGGCACACTATGCATAACATACTGTAATGAACTACATGATATTTATTTTACTTTTTGTTTAGTTGTATTTATTTACTGGTACAGGTAAAACTGTGTTTATGTGAGCTGCCTGAACAGTTTATGTTGTTGCTGTGCAGGATCACTGGCTGACAGATCAAGTTAGAGGTCAGAGAAAATCTTTTGTTTTAGTCAAAACGTGCAAATCCGGAGGATTAGCTCCTCATTTTCTCCCCACACACGGTTCCTGACTCCTCAGTCACACAGTAATATTGCAGAAAAAGGTCAGCCTCTCTGCAGTGCAATTCACGTAACAGTCTCAACAATATTACGTGACTTTTAAAACATATGAAGCCCTATTTACGTCTTTTTGTCTCGGGCTTGAGGGAAAATTGTTTTTATGTATTTTGGATGTTTACTTTCAAGGTATAAAAAGGGTCAGTCATTTTGGGGCACGTTATTGCCACTTTATGCGTTCTTATTTAAATGCTTGGCTTGCATAGTCACCTGAATAGTTTAGACTGATTCTAGTGGCTGATTTCTTTTTCAGAGACAGACTTTACTTTCTTAATGACATTGCACTTGTTTCCCAAGCCAACAGTCACAGCCGCCCACTGACTAGTTGCCAATCCCGTCAGCCCCACTTCATCTTGCCAAATTAGCCGCGTCTGAGGTGTAGCACATCCTCTGCTTCCTGTGCTAACACTGACTCATAGGTGAAGAAGGATTTCCCACAGTCTTTATCACGTACACTAGCCTCAGACTGCACCCGACCTCTTGCCTTGATACAGAGTCAGATACTGTGCGTTAATTACTATGACCGTGGTACAATGTAAAAGCTGAAACTAATGTATTTTTGGCCACTGAATGAAACTAGAAAAAAAATGCATGAAAGTAGCAGTAAAACAGAAACTGAAATCTCATAGTTTTAGCTAATCGTTCATCGTAGCCATCCACAGGCCATGTCACCCAGATGGAAATGACTGTGTGGGTAGTGAGAGGAGAGCTGGGGGTGAAGGGGGGATCACCACTACAGGAGGACGGTTGAACAGATCAGATCAGAGGCAATACGTCACTATCAACCAAACTGCACTGTTCATTGTTCTCAAAAGGGCTTTGGATCAAAGTAAATCACAATTCTGAAACATATTTAAAGTCCATATAAATAATGTAAATACATGTATGTAGATTATATATACATACAGTGCAAACGATATACCCTGACTCATTTTTGATACATACACAATATGTTAAGGAAAGAAAAATAAGAAGAAACAGGATTAATGGTCTGCCACATATAAGCTGCTGCTCTCTTTCACAGCCAAAGGGAATTATGAGAGAAGGAAGCGGCTCGGTGCGGTGCTTCAGATTAATATCAAAGATGTGTGTTTGCTTAACTATGTCCATATGTATGTGAACAACAGAGAAAAAAAAAATACTGAAGTTGGTTTCAGTGCTAATGTAGAGTTGTTTGACCTTTTGTGACCCTAACTAAGAATGCTTTTGATCATTTAAATGTAACCACTGTTTTGGACATGTGGGGAAAGACATTTGTGACCATTGTGGGGAATCTTGGCGGGCATGTGAATACCTCGTGACTACCACTGGTCTATCTATGCATTATCAGCCGAAAGATACATAACAGTCGAGTCGATTTGTGTTTGGTAAAACTCTGATCTGCTATAAACGGAGGGCTTTCGCTCCAACATCCTGGGTCTCCCACTTCTCAGGGTGCCATAACAGTAGCTGTAACATCCGAGACCTGACCTCTGCTGTCTGAAACATGGCTGCGAGACTATGATCTACCTCCACCTGGCCTCTTTGTCCAGTCTGTTCATGCTATAAACAGACTGGACAGAAGGGAGAAAGAAGGTGGAAAGGGAGTATCTCTCTGAAAACCATGTTACAGGAGTGGAACCTGGCCAGAAATATTGGTCTTTGTCCTTTTTGTCTGTATGTTAAGTGAAAAAAAAATGACATGATGTACTATCACATCACTAACAAAACATAATTCAGTTTTTTTAATATAACACAGGTGCCGGACAGCCTGTTAATGACCTGTTTATAATGGATAACCTGTATTGTTATATACTGATTATTATGATTACTGTTTCTGTGGATCCTAATAATGACACTGGTCTATATGTACAGATAAAGAGACGAGCCCTTTCCTTTAGGATGAAGGGAGCTTTCTGGAGGGTCTGTCTGTTATCGTCTCATCATATCTGCAATGTCACAGCATATTTTCAAACGACAAAGAAGTGAGTGTGGCTCCATCTAGTGGAAGTTCATGTGCACTGATGCAGGCATTACTGTAGCCATACTGCAGGCAAATGAAAATAATTGACAGGTTGTAATACTGTCAGCGCTGGTTTTTTGCAGTTATTCTCCAGGGATGTTTATTTATTTCCACTCTGTGTACATGTGACATGTGTGTATGAGCTCTCCCGCAGAACCCATACAAGCATGAAATCTGTATGTTGTCAAATTTACTTTTCTCCCTTTGCACCGACGGGGTGCTGATGGCATCCCCAGAGTGCCTCATTATCCAGTCTGTGTGCTTGCAAAGTCATGTGCACGAACACAGACTCACAGTTTGTTCCTGTACTGTAGTTCACACGTCTGTCCAACATTAGCATCCTGTGTAACAGACAGGCTCTCACACTCCTCAGTCTCCAGCAACGATTGTGCAATAAACTGAAGTCTATATTTTTAAAACCGCCTGCAGGCCATCTCTTTCATTCATGTTTCTTTTATTGAGGTGTGTGTGTGTGTGTG